TAGATTCACATTTAACACCATGTTGCAATATACCATCTCTTGTTATCCCCTTGCATTGCGAACGCTTGTTTACAAAACATTATAACAACAACGATTAATGTCAAATTCAATCCTGAGGAAGTTCTCGGAGGTAATCGAAAGTACTTGGGCTACCAAACACAACGGCGCCTTCCTTGATGAAATTTAGCTTAACATTAAGAAGATAATCAGAGAAATAGAAGGAAATATTGTAAAATAAACATTTGTGGTATGTTTATATTTTTATAATATATATATATATATATATATATATATATATATATATATATATATATATTATTATATATATATATTATTTATATATATATATATATATATATATATATATATATATATATATATATATATATATATATAGATAGATAGATAGATAGATAGATAGATAGATATGTGGTTACATACCTAACTATGTACACTAATGGGTATGTCCCAATCCTCATAATATGTTGGACACTATTGCAAGTTTGGGGTAATATGCTATCTAAGTAGTTTACCTACTTCACGTCGCTGGCGAGTATTGTATTTTGTTGATGTTATAAAAATTTCCATGTCATTTCCAACCTCCGTTTGGGTTATTCTCAGTTATTAACCTTTTCTAGGTTACAACATTTATATATATATATATATATATATATATATATATATATATATATATATATATATATATATATATATATATATACAGTGCTGTTCGATAAAAGTGACACCCTGAGTTTCTTTTACTTAAAATTTTTTCGCCTATTGTTTTGAGGGTTAAATTAATTTTTAATAAAAGTGAAACATGTTAGGTTGATATACCTTTCATTTTATTGGCACCTTGAGGTGGTGCAATGGTTGCTAGGGCAATTACGACTGTGTAGTGAGTTCAATCTTCACCGGGTGCCCCCGACTTTCGGCCTCGAGCCACATCCATGCTACACTTAGAGAATCACAATACCTTTCATTTTGTTCGTTTATTTATCATATATTCCGTTCCATATTTGATCTTACTAATATAAAGACCCCTTTCCGACCACCTAGTAAAACAGTTTACTCACCCTAAGGTATTCTATTGATAATTATAAATTTGGATATAAATGAGATTTAGGGGAAAACTCTGTGCAAAAAAAGAGACTCACTTATTTCCTGCAGCTAGTAATCAATAGAAACATAACCGAACAGCTTTAAATAAAGAATAATAGAGGTATAATTTATTTATAATAGGTAATATAGTTCGAAATATTTAATAATCTATGGGTCCTCCTTTATTTTGAATAACCTTTTCAACCCTTTTTGGCATTGACTTGATTAGGTTCTGGCAAATCTCATCTCCAAGTATTGAATTCCATTCGGATATGAAATTCACAATCAAATCCTCTTTGTTGCTCAACTGCTTTCTCGAGAGCCTGTAATTCATACATGCTTCATAAGTTTTCTATGTGGTTGAGGTCAGAAGATAGGGGCAGCCATGTCATAACACTCACCTGCTTCTCATCAAAGTATTCCTTCATCAATTTTTATTTGTGATAGGGAACATTATCCTGCATGAAAATGAGCTTGGTGGGGTCGATTTGCACCATTTCAGCAGAAGGGAGCAGACAAGACTCTAAAATTCTCTTGTACTGCTCGCTCCTGAAGGTCTTTTCAGTAGGTTTTAAGAAACCAGTTTCATGAAAAGAAAGGCATCCCCAGAAAATTATACTGAACGGATGCTTGACAGTACTTATTGCTAAATTCAAAGAGCTTTCAATGCTTCTTCTTCGGATTTTATATCGCTTATCCTTTGATAACTTTCATTTCATCGGAGAAGAGAACATACTTCCAGTCTTGTACGGTGAAACTTTTGCAATAGTGAGCCGATTCAAGTCTCTTGTCTTTGTTGGCTTTTCTTATTAGCGGCTTAAACCTTCATGTACAAGATTTGTAGCCTTGTTCTAACAACCACCGCCGGACTTTTGAAGAGGCAAAACTAACACCTTGCTCTTCGCTTAGACTGGCTGCAATTTATCGGCTAGTTATAGTTCTATTCTTCGCAAATTCTCTCTTGATTAGCCTGCCAGTTCTATCATCAATCTTTTTCTTTCGTCTCCTTGTTTCCTTCCTTGGAGCAGAAGTGGCATCATTATGTACCCTAAGACAGTTGATTGCGAAGTTATAGCAATTTCAGCAATTTCTCTCGTAGACTTGCCTGCTTTTGAGAGGGCAATACATAATAGATGCCTTAAGTGGTTCTGAGTGGCTATTTCATATATATATATATGAACCTAAAGAGCCAGGTAAACCTACCTAGGTTTCACCTATGCGGATCGTTACGGTCAACTGACCAACGAAGTAAGGGTGGAAGAGAATATAAAAACAACCATGACCACGTGACTCAAAATGTCAAGTAAAACCGTAACTCAATAACGGTGTGTGTGGGGGGGTGTTATGTTTTTAATCAATAACAGAACAAAAAAAAAAAAGGAAAAAATAAACTATTCTAATAATCAGCGTTTCTAATGTGTAAAACTACACAGGATTCCAGATTTTAGATTTAATAAATTTTTGTTTTTTTATACATAGCAATAGCCAACTTTTCCTCTGTGCATAGTGAAAAAAAAACCATTTGCTTTATACCTGTGCCATTTTTTTTAAATATTTCCCATTTCAACATGGTGTCTTTATTATCTTCTTGTTTGACTTTCTATACATAAGTGGATAAAGTGGTGCTATGTTTGTATGTTTCGTTATGAAAACTACTAAGTTGGTTAGAGTATCGGGCTTTAAAATTATTTTGGGTAGATCCTATGTAGACCTTAGGATTTTTATCAGGATTATTTCGTTTATCCTTATATATTTCTAATTGGCATACCACACACTCTTGTTGGCACTTGCCCTGGAGGGGGAAGGCTTCCTTATTCCTACAATTACACTTGTGGGTGGGGGTCGCACGTGGTTTGTCCTTATTTTTTCTCATATTAAATCTATTAATTAAACTGACCACATTAGGCATACAACTATAGCTTAATTTGACGTAGAATTTTTATTAAAGATTTTATGCAACCTATTAGATTGTGGGAAATTCTCATTAAGTAGTCTAAAAATATTTTGCCTATGTTGGTTTTCACCACTGAATTATATGGGGGGTTAAACCATAATAGTTTTCTACTTCTGGTTTTATCTTTACTTTGTGTTGCAGGTTAATCATTCATATCATTATATTCTAATTTATTATCATGTCCACTATTCTTTAGAGCTTGTTCATAGAATATTTTATTTCTGCTAAAAATATTATTACTTAATGAGTTAGTGAACAATCTGTGATTAATACCTTTAGGTATCTGTTTCAAAATATGTGGTTAGAACCCAAGTCTATATGTTGTGGATACTGATTATCCTTTCTATACGGTGAAATTGTATCATCACGTAAATCCAGCATAATATCCAAGTAATGGGTAAGTATCAAGTTTATTTCTATATCCAGGTTAAATCTGAATTTTTTAAACAACCAGTGAAGTTTCTTTCGGTTTACGTCACATTTCCTAGGGTTACTTTTGTCTACAATAATTAATCCACCGTCCCTGCACAGACCATGTTTGCTAGGATCTATATATTTATTTAAATTGTTAAGTAGGAGGCATCCGATCAACTCACATACCTCTGCACCATCATATGCCTCCAAGGGATTGTCAAGATTGCCTTTATCGCCCTTTTAAATCCATAATTCTTTATTGTGGAACAATAATGATTTATGGCAATATTTAATTAATATTTAGATTAATTTTATCGCTAGAAATTGATATACATTCTTTAGCTAATAGTAAGGCTTCATCAAGGATTTTTTTCAGTGATCGATGTGTAAAATTCTTTTATGTCATATTTAATAAAGGAACACTTGTTATTTTTATCTTAACTCTTAAACCATTCGATACAATCGTAGGTGGAACGCCATTGATTAATATTTAAGAATGTTCTTAACGATTCGCATATTTCTTTTAAGATTATTTTGCTAACCTTACCCAATTGTGTTTAAGTGGGTTTATAAGTCGGCATTTAGGATTATTCAGAAAGTTGTCTTTATGATATTTAATTGTTATAAAACAATTATTTATGCTAATTTTTTCAGCCCTATTTTCTAAATTTAATTTAATGACTAATATGCTAGCTTCTCTATGGAAGTCAGTTTCTAGATTAGTGGGGGCTTATTTATAATACTTAATTACCTATTAATTAAGCATATTATTATATTTCTTGGGGTTTATCTTGTATAAAAATTTGGATTTGTCAGCTTTTACGAAAACATTCTTGTTATTTTTTATTTCTTTCAGATCTTTGTTAATTTGTTGTATATTATTAGCAATCTTTCTATACCGTATTGTTTTAATTAATCCGATTCGGACTCAAATTTACCTAATACCTTAATATGGGGTGGGTGGGTATAGGTTTTAAAAACATACGATTCGATGGTTTGATGTTTATTCTGGTTATTATTAATGAAGAAATGAGCATTCCATCTCATATTCTTTATGAAGGATTCTATTTTCTTCAATAAAAAACTCCTCCAAAGCGAGTAAAACAAAAGTAAGTACGTAGTTACTTTTGCTTTACTCCTTTTGGAGGTATTTTTCTTTAGACTCTTAGCTTGAATTCTGGATGATTGTTTTCGCCTCAATTTCATGGTCTTAGTTCTTTCTTTTTTTATTCCTTATTTTTCCTTGAGCATTGGTTTGTTCAATTACAAGCCAAAATACCTAAGTTTTTCCAAACGAGTATAACTATATATAAATGTATATATATATCGTTTTTTCCAAACGAGTATAACTATATATATATATATATATATATATATATATATATATATATATATATATATATATATATATATGTGTGTGTGTGTGTGTATTAACACACACACACATGTATATATTTCTATAGATAAAAACATTTAACCAGATGAATTATTTTATTTTGATAAGATGAAATGCGTTACAGCATTTATTTTATCATTCAGTTGCCATATATATATACAGACAAGAGATAGATAGATAGATAGATAGATAGATAGATAGATAGATAGATAGATAGATAGATAGATTTGGATAGATAGATAATGACATATTTGGATAGATAGATAGATAGATAGATAGATAGATAGATAGATAGATAGATAGATAGATAGATTTGGATAGATAGATAATGACATATTTGGATAGATAGATAGATAGATAGATAGATAGATAGATAGATAGATAGATAGATAGATAGATAGATAGATAACTTAGTTTTTTTATATATGCGTTTAAGTAGAAGAAATGTGGGTAATACAAATTTAAGTCTTCTCAAAAACCTTAGAAATAAATCCTCGCTTTTTCTGTTAGAAACAATTAAATAGCCACTGTATTTTAAATGCCTTGATCGTATGTATCCTCTACCAGAGGCTAAATTTTTTATTGTTGATTCTTACACACAAGTGTGCAGAATAACACTTGATTATTATACAAAATGGCAGTGTCATTATCGCATAGAAAGAAAGATACTGCAATGTATTAAAATGGAAAAAAGAGATTCGTAGTTTAATACAGACGCCAGAGATGCGGACCATCAGAACATAACCCTAATCATTTTCTCTCACCCATGAAAATAAAAGATTTATATTATCAAGAATATTAGCGCATAACTCTCTTGTTCATCCGCAAGTGAGAAGAACAAAGGCTTGTCAATAAATTCTTAGAGATAATGGTCACTGAATATCTCTCCTATTTATATTGTAATCTTGTAAATATGTGTTTATTTGGATGCATAGCAAAAGCGTAAGATGGTTGTTTCTATTAGGATGTTATGATGTTAATGATATCATCCGAAAATAAATCATTTACATTACTCTCTCAACCAATCTGTTTTGATATGATATGCAACTAGGTTGGATTTATTTTGTTTACGAAAGCAGATTCATCGTCTACGAAATCCTTTCGTCTAAAATCCTTTCCTGTACGTATTTTTCTGGTACGAGGAAATGGTATGATCCACATGGAAAATCAAACGCAATTCTTGATAGCAAAGAAATAATTGATTACTCCCTGGGATGATAAAAATACGAGAATAAATGAAGATTTTAATCGAGTGTATATTGTCATTTCACAAGAGCATATCTAAAATGGTAATGCCAAAGAGTTTTGTCTTTTTATTGCACCAAATAAAATCCGTCAACCTGAATAACCATATCAGAGTTTTTGTGTACCTATCTTGTATTTCGTCACAGCATTTTGTTACACTCGTCCAAGGATTTTTTCTGTCCATTTGCTTTACGCGCACTTTCTCTAGACCGCTGAATTCGGATGGTATATTCAGAGACAACAGACTTATCTAGTATGTTAGCTAGCAAACTCAATATGTAACTCCCCACTCTCTCTCTCACTCTTTCTGTGTATTTTGTATGGGAAAGCAAAGGCCCTTCTCACTCTTTCCCGCTCTCTCTCTCTCTCTCTCTGCCTGTTCCTATCTTTCTCTCACCTTTTAAAGAAAGATCCATTGTTTGGCACTGCTATGATGATGTGCATTCATGATAATTATAATTTGGCCCTGAAACATACGTGGACCCTAAATCCTCACCTGAAGAATACTTTGTTGAAAGCACAGAAGCGAAAAGAATTGATGTACTTATATTAATTTATGAATACAAATATAGAGAACTGATATGTTATTGGGTTGGTGCATAATTATCATGCATTTTTTAAACAATATTATGAAAAAAGAAACATAATAATTCAGCAATAACGTATTTAAATGATTATTGCGGAGCGTATGATTATCAGCACGCATTTTTATAACCTGAAAATAAAATAATATTTTTATTAAAAAAGTAAACAAAACATCAATTTTTATTAACAAATAACTCGCCTACAAAAAGGCCTGATAATTATGCAACAACCCAGTATTATCCAAGTCAAGATTTTCACAATAAAATCAATATTAAATAATCGTATTTGTTAAAATCCTTTTCTATATTAATTTCTTTATTTGAATTTCTGCACATGGCTTTCGTTTTTACAATATTTATTTACAACTTTTGGCTTTAAAATATAAATTGACTATTAAAATATTGACTAAAATTATGAAACAACCAAAATGCCATCTTTAAGTAAACATCAGAAAAAGAAGTTGCGTAAAGTAGTACATGAAAACTAATTACTGATCAGAAGTATATTGGATAAAACTGATTGTTTGAATAGAAGTGTTGTCCTTCATGAATACTGCCAAATAACAACCGAGGCATTTGAAGCAATAGGATGAACTCGTATTATAGTCAACAAATTTCAAGCAAATATTTATGAGAAGTAATAAAATCTTCTAAATTTATGTTTGATTTGAGACAATATAAAGGTTAACAAAATGGACGAAATCTTGATGGACACGACAGAATGTCATGGGCCCGTATTGTAAATTAAGAAAATAATTTATACAGGAATATAGAGATGTATGTACATTTGGTGTGGTTATCGGTGTACAGAGTGGGGTTGGCGTGGTTATCGGCGCACAGAAAGGAATCGGCGTGGTTATCGGTGTCTAGAGTGGAATCGGCGTGGCTATCGGCGCACAGAAAGGGATCGGCGTGGTTATCGATGTCCAGAGTGGAATTGACGTGGTCATCGGCGTACAGAAAGGGATCGGCGTGGTTATCGGTGTCCAGAGTGGAATCGGCGTGGCTATCGGCGCACAGAATGGGATCGGCGTGGTTATCGATGTCCAGAGTGGAATTGGCGTGGTCATCGGCGTACAGAAAGGGATCGGCGTGGTTATCGGTGTCCAGAGTGGAATCGGCGTGGTTATCGGCGCACAGAATGGGATCGGCGTGGTTATCGGTGTCCAGAGTTGGATTGGCGTGGTCATCGGCGTACAGAAAGGGATCGGCGGGGTTGTCGGTGTCCAGAGTGGAATCGGCGTGGCTATCGGCGCACAGAATGGGACCGGCATGGTTATCGGTGTCCAGAGTGGAATCGGCGTGGTTATCGGCGTACAGAAAGGAATCGGCGTGGTTGTCAGTGTCCAGATTGGAATCGGCGTGGTTGTCGGTGTCCAGAGTGGAATCGGCGTGGCTATCGGTGTCCAGACTGTGATTGGCGTGGTTATTGGCGTACAGAGTTGTGTCAGCGTGTTGAGTTCAAATTCCAGCTAAGGACATTTCTTTAACGCCCACGCAAATATCATTGGAATAGTATGAATCCATTTTTCCTTTTCACTAATTGTTAAGTAACCCGTATAGGTAAACTCTGTATTCAGATCCAGTTGGACATGAAGCTAGCAACCACATAAAACGCAATAATTACTTGGAAACCACATGAACAATAGCTAGCGTGGTGAGGCTGTAACCTTCAGAAGATGTGTCTACAGTAAGAATAAGTGTTATTGTTTTAGTAAATACGTATGTTTTTGTTTGAATTTATGCACAAATAATAATTACGTTATTTTCTAATAAAACCCGACACATCTAAAGCAAGTAATTATTAATATATTTTATAAAGTTAGGTATAAGTGTAAATATAAATATATCTTAAAAACATTACAAACAACATTTTATTGCGAATACATTGATTTGCATCTTAAAGTCTTTTTATAATGTGTATATGTAGAAATGATTTGAACGTCGCAAATACTTTTGCTTACTTTAGCAGAACGCTATCCATATTCAATAAACTTGACGAGGAGATTGCCTACAGTTTTAAAATGATTTCTGATGCATATTGCAAACTTGAACACATGATATGGCCACAATCAAATATCAGTTCACCTAGTAAAGTCAGTGTCTATCAAGCATGAGGTCAATCTTGTATGTTGCGTGCTTTCGAGACATGGATAACATTCAACAGGCACATGCAGCGTCTGGGACGCTTCCAAATAATTATTGCGTCACATACGGAAAATATCCTGGTGATCAAGTATTCGCGACACAGTTATGTTGGAACGAACAAAGATTTCGCGCATTGTGTCCATGCTTAGAAATGTGTAGACTAAGATGGTCTAGTCACTTAGTAGTCTTAGAAGAGATCCGGGTTCTAAAACAAGTTCTCTATGTTGAACTGCTAAAAAGCAAATGTCTGTAGTGTAAGCTGTACAAACGACACAAAGACAACCTCAAGAAAACATTACAGGTGAATACAGACACCAGTGTTCTCGAATATCTTGTGTCTGAAAGACCTACTTTAAAGACACTGCTAGTGACTGTTACTAGAGACTTTGAGAAAGTTATGATTAAATACGCGGAGCGAAAGTAGGCTGCTCGCTACATGAAATGTTACTTTCTCTTGCTAAATATGGACAGATATGCCTTTCAAAGGTTGTCCAATGATGTCCAGCCTGATTTCACTTGTAAGGTATTGCACTAAGTGTGCATATCATCGAGTAGAGATATCCAGCATTGCAAGTCACAGCATGGTGATACCAATGCAGGAAGCGGTAAGCTTGCTAGCAAAACCTGTGGTTTAATGTGTAATAAAGATGTAATTTATAATTAGAGATGTCACCAACGGCAAAAAAATATAGCATTGATTTGATCTTACTTGGATACGTGTTTAACTTTCCGCGATGTAAATAACCACACAGACACACACAAACACACAAACACACACACACATATATATATATACATACACACACACACACACACACACACACACACACACACACACACATATATATATATATATATATATATATATATATATATATATATATATATATATATATATGGCAATGTATATTTTGGGGAAAAACATTCTTTTAAATATCTGTCGTTAAATATGACGAAGAAGGAAATTTTTTATTAATTTTTTTCATTTAATTTTTCCAGAGTTCTTACATTTTTTTGTTGGTGGGAGTGAAGGAATACAAAAACTATCCATTGCGTCCATTGTCCCATGCTACTTTGGACACTTCATTATCCATTTTCATAGGAGGTTTGTTTTGGTTTAATTATTTTGTTTTCATGATTTGGCTGTATTTTTGTGTTATTTTGAATAAACGCTCCTACTAATATAGTAGGATCGTTTATTCCGAACCTGTGCGTGTTGAGCGCGGCTGGAATTCGAGTGAGCGTCTTTCCATTTTTAAAAATAAACTTTCAGCACTCCACTCCCATTATTAAACAAGGTGATGATAGTGTGAGAGAGTTGTTTAATACATAGGACCTCACTCATAGCGAGATGTTTCCGGTAATTTAATTTACGTAGAATTTTAGTATTTCCGACTAGAATCTTTCTTAAAGGACTTTTTTTTGAGATTTTGGGTATATAGAAATTTTTATTTAACTTTGCTTTGATAAGTTACACTGAAGGAGGTGGTCGTATGCCCAATATAAGTAATTACATCTCTCTCGATATATATAGTTAGTTACTAAACTAATTGAGTTTCTTTTTTTGAGGTTTTCAGATAAGTCGTTTCGCCATCTTGACACCATTTGACGTAAATAATTGCTGGAAAACCGTTTGAGTTATTCAACTAAAAATAGAACAGGTTAAATTGGTTTTGTATCAGCCCCATTCTCTTTCAAATGAGCAATGATGAAACCTTCGGTAATGTTACGAACCTTGATACTCTGGCTTCCATCTTCAAAGTCCATTCAAAAACAGTGAAAAGTTTTAAAAAGATGGGACAATAAAGAGGAAAACTGAATCTGGAAGTCACAACAGGAAGAGGAATCATCATTTTAACGAAGTGCTAAAAAGATCAATTAGAAAATATCCATCTCGATTCATAAGACGTGTGGCACGTGAAAGAGGAGTTTCAGAAATGACAGTCCAACGAGCAGTGAAAAAAAAAAAATTTAAAATGACTCATTGGAGGCAATTAACGCATTTAATGGGAAACTAAAGTTGTTCAGTTTGCAACTTGGGAAACAGGAGATTGAAGAGTTTTCTTCCTTATCAAATATATCCACTGAGCTACTTTCTGATGACCTAACAGTGTAGGTTGATCATTTGAATCAGTAGCAGAATGATATGAAAACTAGCTTCTCTGATCTACTGCAAATGACAGTGCCAAACTGGTTTGTGGATCACTTCATTGCTGATGCAGCTGAAGTTGATATCACCCTACGAGAAAGTTTAATTGAACTTTAAAATAATATATCAGCTCAAACGAGGTTCAAGTGTAGAAGATACCAGAAGATGTGTATGAATGAAGACATGCATTAGAATTACCCACCCCTCGGGAAAGATATGAAATTGCTCTTAATCGCTTTTCCAATATCTTACTTAATGAAGTTACAGTCGGATAATGCATCTGCTGTCAAAGACTTGAAATTGCATTCAGGTAGAAAAAAGAGACGATTTATGTCGCTCTCTGATCGCTTCCAAGGTAAATATTTACAATTTGGCAGCCCTTCACTAGTCACAGGGATCCCATTAAAACCACAGAAGATAGAGCTGATGGTACATGTATTTTTTGTTTTGTAAATAAATGAGTTTAATCAAAAAAATATTTATATAAATATTATTTGTTTTACAACTGGAGTTAGTGTTTTGATGCCACAGTAATATCCAAACTACAACTTTTAATATTCCTATTTCCCTAGATGTATTAAGTTGTGGGATGGGGCGGGAAAGAGGAGAAATTGTCATGAGGGGTCATATAGAATTTGCATTGGATTTAAGAGGGGCAAGACCAGAATAAGGTTGAGAAACTTTATTGCAGATGATTAATAAATTCTACGTTAAACTCCATCCCCGTAGACCAAACTTTGCTGGTCTCGCAATAATCTATCGCAATGACTATGGCAAATGTTCAAACGAGCTACGTTTCTTAGTTCCACTATTTCAGACATTCAAAGCTGGGACCCACCAGGCCACGGCAACGGTATCAATTCTCTTCGTATTCCTTTATATGGAAGGATTTTCAAAGATTGTTCCCCAAAATAGTCACTTTGTAGAATAGACTCTCACAACAGTGCTTTAATGACCACTTCAATATTAAATTCTTCAAATCTAGGGAAAACTGATGTCTATCCTATATATTCTCTTAATATGCACCTCAACATTTTACAGATTCTATCCGACGCATACAAGAATCTCATACCTCAGTAACTCTGTACTTTGAGCAGTTATTGGATCTTTTTTGTGTGAACAATGATAATAAGAATACATCTCATGAGATACAATCTAAATTCTTAAGTAACTCGCCTAAAACAGAAAGGCTTCCGAATATTCTACGAAATTAACTAATATACCACTCTATAATATCGATACAACTCTGGCCGAATGACTAAAACCAGATGAGAAACTTTCCACAACTACTCGTAGAAAATGGGAAACATGAAAATATTAAAATGGGAAAAATGAAAAAAAATATTACTGCTTTTTTATGAAGTAGGCTTTTTTTTTCTTGGGAAAGTAGACAGATATTTTGTTTAAAAATGTGTTTTCCTCTATATTCCGCTGCTAGATTAGCTTTTCTGCATTTGCGCGTGCGCAATGAAATGGTCTCTGGATTTATATGGCGTCCATCGCAGAGTGTACACTTATTGCTATCTTTCTCAAGTGTAAGAAATCACGTCTACATCAAAATGCCATAACACATCAGCCAGTCATATATCTAAGTTGGAATATGCTGTTCATGTTACGTTCGCCATTTCTAAGCATGCAAATCATCCATCGATTTTTGCTTTTTCTTGCTATCCCTTCTATGCGTCACGCATACCTGCACCGCATGATATACAAGAGTTACTTACCTTTGCCTTTGTTCCCGTCCACAAATAGAGAATCATAAATTGACGCGAAGACTAACGGGTGTGAGCGAATCTTTGCTCTGGAACGACCTCAGAGAAAGGAAATAGGTATCGCATAGTTTCTTATGAATAAGTTTGGGGTGAACACAGCTAACCTTGGATTTTGTATAGAAAACAGTAAGGCAAAATTTGTGAAATAAATCTAATATCAGCCCGTATCTCTCTCCCTCTCATTCTCTCATTCTCACTCTCTATCTTTATATATATATATATATATATATATATATATATATATATATATATATATATATATATATATATTTATTAAATATATATATTTATGTTTAACGTGTTATTTTTATAGATGTATTTATGTGTTTATGTAAACAGTATATAACATTTATATATATATAAATTTCATATATATAGACAGGATTCGAACCTGCATCCTATGTATACGTGTATGTATGTGTGTTTACTGTTATAAACTAAATATATCTGACAAACAAATACAAATAAAGGTCCGACAATTTATTTATTAAAGACATTTTATTTATGTTTAACGTTGTTTTTTTAAAGATACAAGTATTTAAGCAAATGCTCATTTTTAAACCAAAATAACATAGAGCGTCAGAAATTTTCATAGAAAAATTTTTCAAAAAGGATAATAAAAGGAATCAGTTCACTCGGCCACCATGAACCTTAGGTAGACATTTCGAATTTACTGTTTAAAAATAATTATAATAAATAAACAAATGACGTCATAATTAAATTTATTTATTAAAAATTTTATTTAAACGTTGTTATTTTTATAGATATACAAATGCTAAATTTATAATAAACATAAAAACAAAATTAACAACAACAAAAATATTCGTTCATAGACAGGATTCAACCTGATATGCAAATATACGCTGGCGTGCCTTGACCACTCGGCCACCATGAATTAACAATAATTTACTGTTATAAACTACAATCTTCCATGAATCTCGTACATTCATAACCTTTGGCGTTATTCGAATGTAAACAAATGACACAATAAAATTTATATATCGTTATCCCATATATATATATATATATATATATATATATATATATATATATATATATTATAGGTTCGAATGGTTCATAGACCGACAATTATTTTAAGACATTTTTATGTTTATATATTCTTTTATAGATATTTATAAACATAAAATACGCCTTTATTTATTAATTATGTAGGAAATTTCTGTTTGTCTATTTCATAATGTGTGACCATTTTGTTATTTACATTTCGATAAGCCATAAACAGAGCATTTGTTAAATGGTGGCTGTTTCGAGGCCGACAATTTATATAAAAAGAAGGTTCAACGTTAAACGAATGTACGAGAAAAAAAAATCATGGAAGATTGAATGTACGAGTTTAAAGATTGTAGTTTATAACAGTAAATTCGAACCTAAAATCGGTGGCCTTGGCACGCCAGCGTATATGGCGGTTCCCAAACGAATCGGTTACTGTTTATCATAAACAGAGCATTTGCAAATACGTCAGGCTATAATAAATAAATTGACGGTTCCGTATAGGATTAGGTTCGATTCCTGTTGGTGGTTGAATATTTTCTAACAGTAAATTTTCCTTTGTCTAATAAGGTTCTCGGACATTCAGGCCGGTACATGTTGTTTAATACTGTTTATTATAAATATTTTCTATGAAAAATTTCTCGACATTCAGGCCGGTAAATGTTATTTAATACTGTTTATCATAAATATTTGCTTAAATATGTATCTATAAAAAACAACGTATAAACATAAAAAAAAATGTCTTCATATATAATAGTTTACACCTGGTACACATGATATGGTAAAGAAGGCAAAAAAAAAATAGGATTTTTCGAATCAAACGAATATTCAAATTTCGAGGACATTCAGGCCGGTAAATGTTATTTAATACTGTTCATAAACAGAGCATTTGCTTAAATACTTCATGTCGTTAAACAAAAAAAAAATGTCAAAAAATGTGTCGGAGGAAACTGCATTATATATATGGGTGTATTTTTAGGATAAGAAGAGCAATATGTTAAATTATCTTTAAAGTCAAATCCGAAATACAACCAGATAGACCAGAAAGTTAAAAATAATAAAAGGAATCAGTTCACTCAAGACATTTGAATGTTTAAAATAATTATAATAATACAGCTAATTAAACAAAATCTGTAAAAGATATACAACTAAATAATAATTACATAAAAACAAAAATTAACAACAACAAAGGATTTTCCTTTGAGGTGAATTAACCTTTTCTCTCCTTATCAGATTATATATATATATATATATATATATATATATATATATATATATATATTATGAATGGACAAAAGTCCGACATTATTTTAAGATATGATAAACATAAAAATGTCCTAAAATTGCTCCATTAAACCCTAGCTAGTAACATTGGTGAATTTGTGTTCATATGATTATAGTTGGATACAGGTTCGATTCCTGTTGGTGGTTGAATTTTTCTATGAAAATTTCTCAAATTCAGGCCGGTACATGTTGTTTTGTAAAAACAGAGCATTTACTTAAATATTAGTATCTATAAAAAAATGTATAAACATAAAAATGTCTTCATATATACAGTACCTGGTTGGTAAAGAGTAAAAAAAAAGCTTTTAGATTTCACGACGTGACGTGCGATTTGTTCAGCTTCTTCATGTCGGAATAAAAAACAAAACTAAAACTGATTGGGATTTTTAGGATAAGAAGAAAATGTTAAATTCATCTCCGAAACCAGAGACCAGAAAATTTATTTTTCTAAATAAACAAATCCTTTTCACTTTTATATAAATAAATAAAGTCCCAATTGCTCCATTAAACCCTATAAAAACATTATTTTTTAATTTGCAAAATGCTTTTAAATGAATATATACTAGCTATTTAATGGAGCAATTAGAAAGTATGATAAGGAGAGAAAAGGATTCACTAAGAGGAAAATCTATTTAGAAAAGCAAACAAACACTTTATATAAATAAATACTTTCATAAAAAACATTATTTTTTATATATATATATATATATATATATATATATATATATATATATATAGATAGATAGATAGATAGATAGATAGATAGATAGATAGATAGATAGATAGATAGGGTTTCCCAGCCAATAACAGCTTCGCTACGCGCACATCCAAATATATATGTGTACAGAGAGAGACATATAGAGAGGGGTTAAGAGAGAGAGACAGTTGGAGGTTAGAAACTAGAGAGAGAGAGAGAGAGAGAGAGAGAGAGAGAGAGAGAGAGAGAGAGAGAGAGAGAGAGAGGCTGTTAGATCTAGAACGAGATTCGAAAAGCAATAAATATATTTCTACAGTCTAACCGCTATCGATGTACATATGTAAGCAAATATATGGATATAGATCCGACAGTATGAAGAAAAATATACAGAAAAAACAAACAAAAATCTTAATATGTAATTATGCTGTATTAATGTTAATATAAATAATTGCATATTAAGATTTTTGTTTGTTTTTTCTGTATTTTACTTCATATGTACATATATTTACTAAGTCTATATTTGTGTAACACAGTGGCCGCTAAACTTTTTTCTCTGGGCTGTATTTTCGGAATTGCAATTTGCTCGCGCCTCACCAAAGTAAATGATAAAGAGAACACATGAAAATAAATTAAAAAAATAAAAACAAAAATAAACAACACCCACCCCCCCGAGATGCTTAATGGGAGATAACTGCGAATTCGAAGTCAGAACATTATCATCGATAATGCAATGTTTCTTAATCTTCTAGAGACTTTCCATCATTCCGCTGTACTTGCTATCCTCCTGCGCTGCACATATGAGGCGCTCAGCACAGTTTGTGGCTACTACTTTTAATAGGTACCAGATAGATATATATAGACAGAATTAAACAGGCATCTCGCCGTATTTACTCGTCTAAAAATTGAACACAAGCAAAAGACAAACCCACTTATCTTGATTAAAAATGCAATATATTTTCTTTTTTCGACATGTTGGATGATGGTTTGTTTAGGATTGCACGTGAATGAGCAAGGCTTTTCTTGAGTAAAGGTATTTTTTCAAGATCTAAATATAAACTGCGTTAAGGTTCACATCACACATAACTTATAAATCCAACTTGTAAATTTCAAAGTTAAATACAAAGGAAACGCATTATCTTAGACTGAGTTGAGCGGTCAACAACAGGCATTCTGCATATTTTCGCATTTATCGTAGGTACGTAGATACGGCTGTAAAATTGATAACAATTAAGGTATATGGAGAAATGTATAAACATGTTTGCGCATACATTACGGATAAGCTAATTTTGAGACACTGTCAACGTAAAAATGTTAATTTCAACTCATCTTTTCAAGGCTTATATTGTGTAGCTAGTTCTAGCGAATCTAACTTATATGATGCCCTTGAAATATAAGCGTGTGAGTATGATATGATATATAAATGAAAAGACAGACAGACAGATAGATAGATAGATAGATAGATAGATAGATAGATAGATAGATTTTTAGAAATGAACACGAAAATGGATAGATAGATTGATAGATAGAAATGGACAGACAAAATATATAGATAATTAGATAGATAGTTTGGCAGACAGACAGTCAAATAGATAGATAGATAGATAGATAGATAGATAGATAGATAGATAGATAGATAGATACGTAGAAATGAACCGGAAAATAGATAGATAGATAGATAGATAGATAGATAGATAGATAGATAGATAGATAGATAGATAGATAGAAATGGACAGACAAAATATAGATAGATAGATAGATAGATAGATAGATAGATAGATAGATAGATATAAAATAATTCTTCGCAGTACTTTTTTTTAAATCTTTCATCCCTACGATTTCAACTGGTAAGACTGGCGGTGGTGTCCTTTCGTAATCTCACAAAAGTGCTTAACAATATTTGTGCATTAGCGTAAATTTTCCAGCATAGACGTAAGGATTTTCAGCGAATGCCAAGCATATCCAATAAGAGGGAACGTAACCATTGCCTGTTTTTCATAGAAGACAGAACAACGAAGAATCGGTGTGGAGACACGTGCCTTGCAACTAGCTGTGCGTCACGACACGCTCAGTTGGTGTGTCTCATGACATCTTTTTTCTCGTTAAGAATAAATCATTGCACAGAACTGGACATGTTTTCTCTTAACAGTGATGGGAACACACTCTTTCCGATAGAAGGAAAAGTTAGTCGGGTATATCGACACATCTGGGCACGATTCATCACGAATAGAAGGAAAGTTTCTGAAAAAAAAAAATGAAAGAACGAATGAAAAATGAGGGAAACGAAGGAGAAAATGAAGATGAAGGAGAAATGGCTGTAAAAGTGAGAATAAATGGACGAATGAAAGTAAGATAAACAATGAGTAAAGAATGGCGAAATAAAATATTCTACTTTGAGAATATTGGATGGTGTTAAACAAAATTCGAAAGCAAATAGATTCATTCTTATTTGGTAAAAAATATATATATATATATATATATATAGATATATATTTTACCAAATATATATATATATATATGTGTGTGTGTGTGTGTGTGTGTGTGTGTGTGTGTGTGTGTTATAAATTAACTGATTTAAAATATGGTTTCTTCGCTACACAGGAATTACCATGTTTCAAATACAGAAGCCGAAAAGTTCAAATTTAATTATATAATTGAATTAAAAGCATAACGTATTTTAACCCAAACACCTATTTTTGAAAGAATAAGTTAACAAGTACGAATTTAAGGGAAAGAAAATGCGGAAAAACATTTTGTTGTTGATTAAAAAAAAGACAAAAAAAAACGAAAAACAGACGACATGCGTTGAACGGATGTCAAAATTTTTTGAATAATGAACACTACCATCCCTAGACTTAACCTCTTTTTTGAACGTAACTCATAATTGATATAATAACAGTTAATAAAAATGAACACGCTACCGCCCCTTTCTAAATAATTGGATTTCTCTGTATCCTTTGAAACAACAATTATGAATTGTATGTGCGTTTAAAACTCAGTAAATTTAAAAATACGTTATTCCAAAATTCGCTTGTAGATGAAACAGAACTAATGAATTTATATAAAATTATATAATTAAATTTTAAGTCTTTAGCTTCGTATTTTGAAACATGGTAATGCCTGTGTAGCGAAGAAACCATATTGTAAATCATTTAATTTATGTAAAAGATGTACCGAGATGTAATGAAAATATCCAGTCAACATCATCGTTTTGGGAGTGATCACTAGTGATGACGATGTTATACCTCCATCCATCTTAGAACAAGGCCTCAAACTCAACACGAAGTCACTTGAGGAGGATGTGCTGACCCGGGTCAAGAGGGTGGCTGCTAGAAGACCTGGCAACAGGACACTGCATCATGCGACACACAGCAATCCAGCGGTTGATTTGTGTGTTCAACATCTTATCCTGGTAGAAATGATTCTCTTCTGATAAAAAAACAAAGCATGTTCGGTTGCATAGGATGCTTCAGTTTGTACAAAAGCTTCGAAGCACGATCTTTCCCCTTATCATTCATGGCTTGTCATAAAAAAAAATTGTCCGTTTCTCATCGTGTATGAGAAATACCGAATGTCTTTATGGGCTACCTGTCTGATAAGAAAATCAGACACTATTGTGTTCCTGGCTATGAACCAGATTGACTTGAAGAGACCGTAGTCAATCATGGCCTGGATCGCATCAAGAAATTCGGGAGTTCTTTTCATATCAGAACGATCAACGTGAGTTTTTCGAGCTGCGGTACTTTCGGAATTACCATTAGACTCATCCAACTCTTTTCTAATCCTCTTCACAGTCTTCAGATTAACACCAACATACTCTGAAATGTTCGTATTGCAACTTCTGGCGCGTATGTTAAGCTGTACAACATAATGTTTCCAAATTTCTAGCGGAGGGAATTGCGTCATGGCTCTCTTTTCCTTACAGACGCTTCCCATCTGACTCGACTACTATACTGTGCAGTCGACAAAATAAAAAATAAACAATGCGCATGCGCGAAATTAAAAATATAAAATGGTGATAAAAAGGTTATATATGTTATAAAGACGTTACAGACAAACAAGTGCTCACAACAATCATATTAAATATTGATAATTGTTACGTAACCTAAACCACATAATATATATATATATATATATATATATATATATATATATATAGAGAGAGAGAGAGAGAGAGAGAGAGAGAGAGAGAGGGGAAAGAGGGAGAGAGAGTGAGTTGGAAATAAGAATTGATAAAACACTTGGGAATACCGGGTCCTTACAGCACCTGATATTCTCAAGCGTTCACACATCAAATTACTGACCTGGTTCGGAGTTCCTTGACTTCAGTGATCGTACGGGAACCGGTTTTCCAACGTGATGTGGTCGCAAGTCATACAAGTCGCACCTGTTTTACAGCATCTGTTATTCCCAAGCGTTCATCCATCTAGGTACTGACCAGGTTCGATGCTGATTGACCGGTGATCGTAAGGGAACCTATGTTTCAACGTGATATGGTCGTAAGCTATATTTTGTATAAGTCATGTTTTCTTTTTTATTCTATTCCTTCCATCTTCATCTTCCTTTCTCATTTTATTTTCATTTCCATACCATTAAACATTTTTTCTATCCTTCTCGCTCCCTTTCAACTTCTTGGTTTTCCTCTTATTGATATTCCACATATCCATCCTTTTCTTTTTCTCTTGTTTCTTCATCTCCTAGTATTAAGCAATTTTATTCCCTTTTAATTTCCTTTATTATTCGTCTCTTAGCACTTCCACATTTCTCTATTCTTGTTAGAGATATGCCGTTATGTTTATCGGCGCAAATTTACGACAATTGGATAAACCACTGAGAACGTGAGACCTCCAAAACGTGTAAAAATAAATAGATTAGCGTTTGTCTTTATTATTGAGAGTAGCGCGCGAAAAGAAATCTATGGAGAAATTACAGACGTACAAAGGACTTGTGCGCCTGCCTATTGCACTTAAATCTGCAAACAGACTTTAAATTATATTCGATAGTAGAAGGGAAAACAAAAACCGCAATCTTAAACAGAAATCCTATTTTGGCCACTAATGAATCGAATGGCACGTTTTCCGTCTAATTCATTTAAAATGATCCTTGTTTTCTCCAGCAAGGAAATGATAACATGTGCCCTTGATTTAGTTATCCTTTTATCGTTTTAGTGCATGTTTCTTTCTGGAAGGAGAAAATGACGGATCACTATCACAGGATGAAATGCTTCAAGAGCGTGTTTTCGAGTAAGACAATTTTAGTCAGATATGAAGACAAATCAGAAGCGATTTATCAGATTTCAGGTTTGGACATCGCTACAAATTGAAAAGCCGAGTTCGAAAACATTCAAATCTTGAACATTTTAAATTTATACAAATGAACGTTAATTCATATGACGAAAAAGAAGAGGCAAGAATTAATTAATATTTTGGATTAATATTTTGGATTTCGCTGAATCCCAAATGCAAAGTTGTTCAATTTACAAATATTTGGAAATTTCATAGAATTTCAAAGAAACGATCAGAAAATAATCAAATATTCTAATGTTTTCTGATACTGACATCGTCATTTTTCATTGCAAAGAGAAAGAAAATCATTAAATGAGATTAGCTATCCACGTATTTGGATAAAACCAAGATAACAGCAAAATTACTTGAATGAATTTGAACTTCTCTTCTTATTGCACATTTGCGAACAGTTTTCAGTTGGCATCTTTTGCTGTCTTTCTTATGTGTAATTTAATATACGATAATATCTGATCATTTTCCAGTATTTACAAACACAAACACGTAAACACGTACACACATATATATATATATATATATATATATATATATATATATATATATATATATATATATATATATATATATATTCTTTCCGGATAATACCTGTGACATTGCTCTATTTATTAAACAATTTAGTTCATGCCACATCGACTGAAAAACTACTACAACAAAAGAATTCTCCAATTAGCATATTAGTAGAAAATCGCACTGTCTTTTAAATTTTCAAAAAATTCAACCTTAGCGTTGCAACCGCACGCTCCAAAATTTCTTACAGTTAACAATAACGCATTTCTAAAAAATCATATTTCGATTCACATCTAATCTTTCGTGTCCCGTTATTACCTAGATGTATTTTAAAAAAAACAAAAACAAATCAATTTCCATGCCTGATGATGTCTGTATGAACAGATGGAAGTACTAGAAAAAAAAGAAAAGACATTATACAAGTTGAATTTAGTAAAAACTTGGATCACAACATTCATCTAGAGGTTCGTGGGTTAATGTAATTTTAATAACTTTGTTTGCGAAGATGTATTCTCGCGATTTATATCATTAACTTCACTAATCTGTTTCTGTATGAATGTTTCATGTAATATATATATAAATCTAAGAACAATGGGAAAACTGTAATGGCGTTTCGTCCGATGTGGACTTTTTCAAGTCAAAAACGAAATGAATTTATTAAACAAAGTAACTAATAATAACAAAACAAAATGTCCTTAGCAAATAGAAGAATTTAGAGAACTCTATTTTCATACTGTTAACGAAACGTCAATTACTGTCTCGTGTGGAGATATTGATATTATTGCTGTGTTGACGGATTCAACCATTTTCTTTTGATTTCTTGATACTGTTGTGTATGTTTGGTTGGGAGAGTAGTAATAGGGAAAAAGTGTAGATTAATATTTGTGTATATTAATATTTGTATATATATATATATATATATATATATATATATATGTGTGTGTGTGTGTGTGTGTGTATATATATATATATATATATATATATATACACGTGTGTGTGAGCGCGCGTGTGTATGTGTATAATTCGAACGTCATTATAGTGGACACTTCGTATTTGAAATAGACGTCACATTTGTATTTATTGAACAGTATGTATTACGTCTATCAGTCTGCGCATTCGAAAATTAGTAGTAAAAAATATGTTCTACGGAAGGGATGAACCACGAACTATTTACTATAGTGTTATGGTCTGGTTCCTTGTACCACGGTGATAGTCCAAGGTAGAACTGGAACACGGATATGTAATAATATTACAAACAGAAATATATACAGAGAAGTAGAAAGTGTTAGTACGAACAATCAGGTTTAGTAGAGAGAATAATGTAGTCTTGACCAGTATCACTATTCCAATGTCTTGTAGTAATTGTCTGAGCGCGACTCTGTTTCGGACTGCCACTGACTCGACTCTTGACTCGACTGACTCGCTCGCTCTCACTGACTGACAGACTCCTGACGGACTTCTGACTGACCTCACTCCAGACTTCAGACTAACTCTCTGCTTCCTCTTGAGGCGCAGTATTTATTACGTATGGAATAGTCCATTATGTTATTATGGGTAAGGTCCCATAACATATAGTAAAGAGACAGTAAATAGTAAAAGTGAGACAGCCCAGTCCTTTGTCAGTTGTCCATCTAAGAGGCGGTGATCAGTGATAAGATTCAGATCCAGACCATGGATGCCTTTACGAGTGTTGTAGCAATGTTTTAAAATGTATTTTAATTTACCATCTCTGGATGCATTGAAAACGGTTTTTTATAAAACATTGTATCAACAACGATTAATTTTTAAATAATTCTAACAGAACGCTTCTACAAAAAGACGTGTTTACAAATATCACCATCACAACGATTACAATTACATATTCTTCGCAATTGACACGGAATGATGATTTCTGTGGGGTTAACAAGAACTACGGTCCCTTTTGTTATTAATTTCAACTTAATATCAAGAAGATAATTAGAGAACTAGAACAGATTATTTGAAAAATAAATAGATATAACATGTCTACAGGTTGCGATGGATAAATTGTCAACTAAATTACGCAAAAAAAAAAGAAAAGAAAATAACATTGATATCTCATTTTAACAGATATATTTACAAAATATCTTACTATGACTTACTAAGCGTAACTTAGATGTGTCTCAAGACAGAAAACATTAGACCCCAGTGAGGATCGAACTCACTATTCAGTCATTAATCTAGCAAGACAAGCTTGTTAACCATTACACCACGTCCAGATGCCCTCTGTAGATGTATTTGTGACATTTGCTAATGCCCCAAATCATTTCTCGTTCTCGCTCAGTTCTTGTGTAATTCCCTTCTGTCTTTTATAGTATTCCTGAAGAGAAGCAGGCTGGTTCCACCCTTCTATCTTGCGTAATATTCAATGACACGTCGTCAATGGCAAAATGTCATCAGTTGTAGCTTCATAGCAGGTACGTGCCGTCAGTAATTACTTAGGGTAGCCAGCTTGTGACATTTATGTTGTCAATCTACAAAAATTATTTTGCATTTGTTGCATAATAATACGAGTAACCTTCATAATTTTGTTGGATTAGGTGCATATTGGGCCACAGAAGAAAAATGTAGCCATTGATTTATTTTATTCAGCCTACGTTGCCTACCTAGACGGTATGTTCCAGGTTCAGAGCCAGTACCGTAATCTATAAAAAGCTTGATTTTCTTTGATCTTTCAAAAGCCATTTTTTCAGCATGTTGCCATTTCCAGGGTGATACTTTTCATAAAAACCTATACAAAGTGATTAAGTACGAACTGATTTTGTTTCAATATCCATGATCAGAATTGATAAGAAATAAATGGCAAGACAATACTGACACATTTCTACGGTTAATACATGAAGTAGCGCTCTTTGTTTTGTGTTCGGTGAATTTTTTCCAAGTCAAATCTGTGACAAAGTAAAAATTAAAGAGAACTTTTGAAACACTCTTTTATTTTAAAACATAGTCCTATATATCGTAATCTTATTAAATCATAATCTATATCTTGTAATCTTATTAAATCATTGTCCTATATCTTGTACTCTTATTAAATCATTGTCCTATATCTTGTAATCTTATTAAATCATTGTCATACATCTTGTACACTTATTAAATCATAGTCCTGTGACGTCGCCCCCCCCTGGTCGCAGCGTCGACACTGTCGTTCGATCTCGTTCGCGGCACTAGTTGTGACGTCACGTGCTCTCCAGGCTCTGATATCCTGGTCACGGATAGCACCAGTTGTGACGTCTTTGCCGCGGCGTCAGCTGTTCGCTCCTCGCTGCTCCAAGTGTGACGTTCTAACCCATTGGTTAGATGAATATCAGCCTCGCCGTTCCCAACTCGCTTCCAACGCCTGCACTGGGTATCTCCGATCTCTGGTCCTACCCACGTTGTGATTAGATCTTAGACAGACGGGGTCAAACAGGCGTTGGGGCCGTATGCCGGCTGGGTTCAACGGTGGTGATAACACACAAGTAAAAGAAAAACTCACGAGGCCAAAAATTATTGAAAAAAAGGTAACAACCTTTTATATCTAAATGTTCGTTACACAAAATTGTT